AAACTTCCTATATAGCATAAGGACATCAAAATGTACAAGAAAATGTGAAAAACATGGACTATCATGATTATGTGCTCACCTGGTCCTAATCTCATTAGCTTTGGTAACAAACCTTTGTACAAAGCAAAGAAACTACAAGAAAGGAGAAAAATAAAAGTATCACATGCAACCAATGATAGAAGAATGTGTGTGTCCTTCATACCCTTCCTCTTTAAAAACCACTCCTATCGTCTGAAGTGTTGTTCTATACTTGAGTATATCTCCATTAGGAGGAGGACCCTGCAATTATTAATAAATAAACAAGATGACACTTTACATTTAACATAGCTCCTCAAAAAAACAAGTCAGTATTCATTTATTGATATGCTTATGACACAGGCCCACATTCATTTCAGTCTTAAGGCCTTTTCACATTGGCATCATTTTGTGTTCTTGTTGCCATTGCTTTACATTGATCACAATGCATCACTTCACATCAATCGACCTCTGGAGGCGAAGTGAGAGTGAGTCACATTAATTTGAAACCACTCTAGTGTGAACATGATAAATGTGCATTACTTTTGCTAGTGTGAAAAGGCCTTTATTCTATACATTGCCTGCACATTATATGTACATGTATACATACTTGGATACGACTCTTGGCTACATCAAACGGGATATTAGCAGTGCTAGCAATAGTCCCTGCTATAGTACCAAGAGCAAGTCTCTTGGAAATTGATGGAGACTGCAAAAAAAATTTAAATTGTGATAATAATAATAATAATAATAATAGTACTTCTGAGCTAATGAAGAATCCTTTCATATTGTGATAGAATCCAAAATAAATTGCATTCCAAACCCCATGCCTCCATACTGTAGCCCCCAGCTCCTTGTAAAGACCATTGAGACCAAAACCATCCTTTGATATGATAACACGAGCATGAGAGAAGGTCCCTGGAGTCTAGTACCATTATTTACAATAATAATAATAATAATAATACTAATGAGAGTTTAAATTGCGGACTTACATCTCTGATGTGAGAGCGCAATGACTGGAGTGATATCTTCACTCTTTCAAAAGGAGTGATCATTATGCCTTCGGTAATCCCTGAGCCAGTACCAGCTATTATATAGGTCTGGTGAAAAGGAAATACAATATAAAGAAAGACAGTCAGCAAAACAGTTTTAATTTAGGGAAATCACTTAAATCAAAAATTTTCAAAATGTCCAGTGGTCAGTCAGCAAAAGCATAACCCCACTGGAACTTAAAATATTTCTAATGCTTAACCTAGTTACTAGTTCATCTTAATACTAATACTAACCATAGCTGTTGCATCTCTGTTCCTGGTAAGCAAAGACTTATACTGCTCAAATGTAAAAAACTAAAAAACAATACATCAAAGCAAGATACTAGCAACATTATCATAATTATACCTTAGTGGCTCTTTTAGGAGTCTCGGCCATTAGTGGAGGTAAGACCCCTTTATAAAATGACAATGGACTACAAATACAACAAAAGTAAGCAGTTACAAATAATTGGCAAGTGTGTTGTCTAAGTTATACAGTGTACACACAAAATATAAAATAAACACAAATATCAAATGAAATCTGAATAAGGTTTGAGAGTGAAAGTGGTTTATCCCTTACCCTTCATTACGGATCATTTTCTTGACACAGTCACTGTAGGACTTGTAGCGAGTAGGATCATCAGGACCTCTCTGTACCTGAAACCTATGGAGAGAGAGGGAGAGGAGAGAGAGAGAGAGAGAGAGAGAGAGAGAGAGAGAGAGAGAGAGATGGAGAAAAATTAATTGACAAATAAAGAATGAGGAGATTCAAAATCAGGAGTCCATAATAAGGAAGGGGAAGATGGTAAAAGACCCCCTCTTCATTATAGACTCCTGTTAAAATAGATAGAGGGGATAGATGGAGTGGGATAAGGTTCAGACATAATGTCTTCTTTCATTTACCTTGTCTTGACTACATCAAGTGGATGCATAATGCTAATCTCAACCAGCCCTAAAGTAAACAATATAGAAAGGACAGACAGAAACAGAAAGGAGAGTAAGAACCAAGAATCAAAACATGATTATTGTAACAAGAAAAAAACATACA